CCCCAAAACCCCAAAACCCCAAAACCCCAAAACCCCTCGGAATTCAATTTAATAGATAATAGTAAAAATAGATAATTAAATTAATATTTCAATAGATAAGTTTTATAACTTCCTCTCTTAGAGAACTGAAATGTTTATTATGCTTGAAGAAGTATTCATTACCTTTAATATGTTCAGGAAAATTTTATACCATATTAGTCAGCTATTGTCTGCAGATCTTTATCTGCATTTTTAACTTTTAATCTATGGAATAGTGAATATATAGTTTTTGTTTAAGTTACTCAGCTATAAAAAATGTTCTATTAGTTTAAGAGTCTTAAAAATTGGTTGAGTTATGTCTATTTTTTAGCATTTTCAAAGCTAAAATAACAAGAGCAAACGGGGAAATTTCCAAATCATGAATTAAATCAGTTGAGAAGTATGTCAATGATAAATTTATTGTGCTTAATGTTACCTTTAAGTATTCAATATCATCTTGAGCAAGTTTGAACTGTTGGTAATGATGAAATAGCTATTTTAAAATAATCATGGATTCTTGAAACATGTTTGTCTCGTTGATTTTATACTCTAAAGCCTATAACATGATTTTTTCTTGGTTATTTATATCAGTTTCTTAATATTTATTATGGCATGCATCAACAATCAATTATCATCTATGAATTGGAATAATGTCTTCAAATTTAGAGCTAATCCAGATAGATGTTAATCCTACTAAGTGTAAATCATATTACTATTCGGGATCATTTTGAGACTTTTGCTAATATGCTTTTTTGAAAAACTTATCCATTATTGAAATCGATAGGAAGAATGTTTAATCAGAACTCTTGTTTAGAATCTTGAATACTTAATACATCCAATCAATCATCCTTGCTCTGTTTCTTTCTTTCAAACCGAATTCTTTGTATACTTTAGATAGTTGTGAACTTTTTTTAAATGATGATATTTATTCCTCTTTTTTTAGCCCTTTTTATTATTTTTTATATTTTTTCAGATTATTTATTAGTCTTTATCTTGAGAAACTATCTACTGCATTGATTTGTACTTGTTGCATTGTTAAAGTTGGTATAATTCGTTCATTGAATCTTTTATCTTAGACATTCTCTATTCTGATATGTTTTGTCTAATTATATCCTGAAAATTTAGACTTAGGAGCGAACTAAGAATGTCGCTGTTTTAATTTGTTAATAATAGAATCATTGGAATGTGTCTTGCTATTTTCATTATCCGCTGTCTCATCTGATTCAACAGATTTAGTTTTATCTGCTAAAGACAACCTGGAATGAGATAAGATAGACTCTGTTTTCTTCTTAAGTTATATTAATCTTTCGTATGTAGGGGTTTATAGTAGACTATATATCTGCTATTAAGGCTGGGCTATTGAAGGCTGAGAATTTATAGTGGGAAGACTTATACGCTCTTTTTAATCAGTACCATTTCTTGACTTAACTGACTACTATGAAATTCTTCTTATCATAATACTAGTCTAAGGTGCAGCGTTTTCTGTGCTGTTAAATATCATTAGACTGTTATCAGATTTTTTGAAAGAAAGTCTCCTTTTAAATAGAACCAATTGAGGTTTAAGCTATTAATTTTGCATTAATTTTTTATTATTTCTTTTTAAAAGCTTTCTACTATTAAATCTATTTAATTTTCTACTTAAAATCTATAATCATTTTGCAATTCAACTTTAATTAATAATTTTTCTTATTTACCTCTTTTGATGGCATTTATTATTACATTATGGGGT